TTTTTAGGAATTGTTCAAACCCAAACTCAAACAAAAACATTGTTTTCAATCGTTATGAGTCTCCCGATTGAATAGAATTTTATAAACAATTGTCTTGTAAATGGAATTTTAAAGCATTCTGAATGTTAAAAATAAAGAAAAAAAGTGTGCAAGACATTAAGAAACACTACCTGCCAAAAAAAAAAAAAAAAAAAAAAAAAAAAAAAAAAGGAAATTTTTGTTTTATCGGCTGAAAAATATAGGAAATCCACTCCCATATTTAAAGGAACCCACACACACAAACAACCCGATGTGAGTTGTCCCCTTACATTTTCACGATGTCTCTTAATCATGTTTTTCAAATTGATTTTGTGCAAAAAACAATTATATTTTTCCCATTTTGGCACTGTTAGAACCACCACAAGGTAATTTTATGTAGTCCTGTGAAGTTTTGTTGAAATCGGTTGAAAAAATGTAGGAAATCCGATCCAATATATAAACGTTACAGACAGACACACACACACACAATCTGCGTTTTATAATAAGTAAGATAAGATACAAGAGAATGACATTATTTCATGATTAAATTATAATTAGCTGTATTTTTTTACCAAATTACCGTAAAAAACAAAAAAAAAACAAACAAGAAATGAGATCAATCCTATCTAATTTTTTTGACAATGTATGTCAAGTCTCAATTTTACTATAAAATTTACTGATGGCTATTTTGCAATAAAATGTATTGTTGGTAATTTTTTTTCTAAAAATGTATCGTTGGTAATTTTGCTATAAAAATTCATTTTTATACTTTTTTTATTATTTTGATTTTTTAGATAGCTTATCATCCATTCTTTCTAGAACCTCAAATTTGTTTTTTGTGGGTGACAGAGATGGCTTTTTGTTGGATGGTTATGTTTTTTGGGGCACTTTCTGGAAATAATGATTTTGAGAGTTGGTGGCCAGATTGTTAACCTTTGAGATTTTTGTTTAATGAGGTTTGCTTTAGGTGAAGATTTTGAGTTTTGTATAGATGGTATTTGAGCCATAGAATTTTCTTTCTAGGTTTTTCTTTCTTTCTTTATCATTTGTTTGGCAGCTTTCAGCCAAGCATGTTCTTTTTCAGAGTTCTTGGAATTTTGGCCAGTCATCTTGTCCTAGCTGCACCAACTGTTCTATATTTGTCTATTTTATTGTTATTATTGCTGATAAGTGTATTCACCATCTGAACTACATTGGCATATGTATGGCCTTTCATATATGAATCCACTATTTTTCTTGCTCCTGGGAAAGATATATCTCTTTTATACTTGACCTCCATGATTTCTCTCTCTCTTATATATATATATATATATATATATATATATATATATATATATATATATATAACCAATATGTTGAGTAGTAGAGATTTTACAATTATATAAAATGTGTGACCAGCAAGTGTAGATGCTTTTTTATTTTTATATTTTCACTTTAGTTCCATAGGAAAAAGAAAATAGTTTTAGTTTTCACCAAAGTCCACGATGTACTTTTAAAGAAAACAGATTTCATATTGTCTTTGGTTTTGCCCCTACCCACCCATCAGCCCATGTTTCGTGGCCATCCGGTGTCTGACCTTGAGTCCGTCACGCGACTTCTAACCTTTCCTGGGCTAAATAACGACTGTTCGAATTTTCCTGCGGCAAAGATGACTTTCTTTACAGTAGAACATTTTACGTCTAACAGAGCACATGCATTGAACTCAGTCTCTGTACATGAGGGTATCGGAGAAAACATATGGTGTATTTTCACAGATTACAAGCCCGTAAGGAAATACTGCAACAGAGATGTAAGTAAAAAAAAACCACTGGTTGTTTTCACAGAAGAAAAGATTCCCACAAACGACTTCACAATATATTTTGGAGATTTTGAGGAATATAAAAAAAAAACACAAACTGGTTGTTTTCACAGAAGAAAAAATGCCCATAGAAAACTTCACAGCAAATATTAAAGATTGATTGAAGAAGACAAGGAGAAGAAAAATAGAAGAAAAGAGAAAAAAAAGAAACCCGAGTGAATGAATTTCTTCAGGAGAAAGAGTTCATTGCCTCTCCAGCTTCCGAGAAATGAAAGATTTGCTGCTGTCACAAATGAAAGAATGTAAGACTCTGAATTGGTACATTATATTCCCTTATGGAGAATATTTGTTTTGTATTTACATTGAACTTTGAGCTGACGACTCCATGAGCCACTCCTTTGTTCTAATGTAAGTGAATATCTTTGTATTTTCTTTGTGGACTGGTTGATATGTATAGGTGTTATATGCTCGTAAGGACGTTCATTATTCTTTTTCTCTTTCATTCATCAGTGTTTTGAGAAGGAGACCCCTTCCTGTGAATATTTTTATTATTATTTCATTTATACCTGGGATCCTCTCGTTTTCTTTTTTTTTATTCATTGCACACATGTTTGTCGTTCATAGATTAGCACCGTAATTATATATATATATATATATATATATATATATATATAGCAATATCTCAAAATGGCTGGATGATTCTCTTGACAGAGCATTTACTATCATGAGAACACACTTTTTTTCTTCTTTTTTTTTAGTCTTTTTGACTACATTTTTCATATAGTGGATGTCCTCTGCAACTCTCCTTGTGATGCCCATACTTCTGACACTTGAAACACCACAAGGGAAGGGGGAACATATTGTTCAACTCTCTCAATTGTAAATCCAATTCTTATTTCTTTTGGGATTGAGGGTTTATTAAATGTTAAGATATGTGTGTTTGAATTTGTTGATCACCCCTTTTTATGCTTATTTTTCTATAGCTGGTGTCCCCTTGCATCCTAAGACTGCATTTATTTCCTCTGGTGAAGCTAAGGATAGCTATTTTTGATAACTTTCTTTAAGTCTTTTATATGGGTAAGTTTTACATTTTCAAAAGACTTTATTTTCAGTGTGTTATCAGTGTTTCTTATTGTTCACATTTACAAGTAAATTGCACTTTTTCATTATTCAAAGATTTACCCTGCTGGTAATTACTTTTTGTTCAAGAATGGTGACAGATTGACCACAGAAGTTTCCTCTAGAGATTTGGTTATGATGAATCTAGGGAGTTCCGTTCTAGCATCTATTTCTGAATTAGAGAGATTCCATTTGTTTTTTTTTTTTATTTAAATTTGCGATGTGATTTGTTATTTTTTTTCATTGGTCCTGTGCTCTACCATCCACCACAGAATCCAATTACTATTGGTAATTTATCAAGGGAGTAAAACCCATTTGCTTTGGTTGAGATGGGGTTACATCTACCCCTATATTTTCATCATGAGAGGACTTTAAGCTCCTGTTCATTTTGAACTTAAGTATTCCCACACCCGCAAAAAAATGACACCTTAATATGAAACAGGTGTCAAAGTTTCTTTCTCTTCAACTGAATTGACTCTAAGCAACCAGCCTTTAGCACTTTTAAAGTAATAAAAGGTTGAGTATTAGGTTGTTATGTGATTAGATTGTGAGGCAATGTTGGGCTTAATTATATAGATGCTAGGGCTTGACATGTCAGCCAATTGATCAGATCAGCCCTTGGCGACTGTCTGTCAGAGGTGCAGTCAGCATATTCTACATCCCCAGCCAACAGGGCAGACATCAATTTAATATGATACATTTGAAAAACATCAATTCAAAACAACTACTTTATATTTCTTACTTCTTAGGGTACTAATAAAATAAACTGCTTTATCATATTTTTTGTAGGCTGATGATCATCATCTTGGTCAGTGAACCACCAACATCTTTAATTTTTGGTTATTGTGTTTTTTGCTCCATTTAGAATTTTGGTTACAGGAAGAAAGAGAGGCTGAATGCAGTTTCTTCTTTAGTTAAATCATTTCATTCTTTGTGAAAACCCAGCATATCTGCTAATGAAAAACTGGTACTGTTATCTCTGGCCGAGTGATGACTATTCATAATCCTCATACCAAACATTAAATCCTCCCAATTCATTCCTAAACTATCCAAATCTGCTCACATGATCAGCTAGTCCCTCGTTTTACATATTCATGGCAAAAGCAACATTTTTTTTTTTTTTTTTACATCATATGACACGAGTGTTTTGTTTTCAGTGAAGTTAGTCTAATACAGACATGTACCTAATGAGATAAACCACACTGTCAAATATACAATTTTGGTGTTAATTTGCAGTAGACTAAATGTTGGTCACACAAGTTGCCAAGAGTAAAGTGAAGGATCATTAAATTACCCCAAAAAATGGGCAATTCTTTTATGTAAAATTTGTATATTTGCACATATGTGCAAACATGCATTGGCAATAAGCAGTTGCCTATTCAGCATCTACCAATAGTGCTGTGGATAACATAATGGCAAAGATATCTTAATACTGAATAACAAAAAGCAAAAAACAGCTCTCCATCCCACACCCTCATTGAATAGAAACAGTGGTATAAGTTGAACTTTTCAAGTGTGTGAATGCATGAAGAAAATTCAGCAATGTAAAAAAAAAAAAAAAAGTTATCCCCAAAAGAGGATTATAGTGGAAGAATATCCTGCACAGATAAGGAAACTGCTAGTTTCAAAAATAAGATACTGGATTGGTGCATAATTATCAGGCGTTTTTGTAGGCAAGTTATTTAATAAAAATATTTTATTTTCAGGTTATAAAAATGTGTTTCGGTAATCATATGCTCTAGAATAATCATTTAAAAATGTTATTGGTGAATTGTTATGTTTCTTTTTTCATAATAAATATTGTTTGAAAAATGCCTGATAATTATGCACCAACACAATAGTAAAACTAGTCACAATCAAGTATTTCAGATGTTTACAAGAAAAGAGACAAGTGGTTATTTATTAGTTAAAGAGTCTTTGCTTTAACCACGAGAGCTATTCTAATTATTAGCTCCTTGCCGGAGATTTATAAATGTTACTTAATAAAAAAAATAAAAAAATTAAACATTAAAAATGCGAAGTTGTCTGAATTAATAAAAATCATTAGAAATTTTAAATAACTTACTATCTTTTGCTCGTTTTAATTCCTTGCAGATTGCCTGGGCTTGACTAGCTGAGATCTCAAAAAGTAGTCGTTTATCGGGAACAGTTATGCTCAGAGCTGTATCAGATTCTAAAAAGAAGAAAATGATTATCTTTCAAGACATTGATATTTAGGTGTTTATTCACTAATATCTTCATCTTTACCGTTTAGATTTTTTTATTACATTATATGAAATTTGTGGTAATTATTGTTTGTGTTGATGAAAATTCTTATTTCATTCCCATCACCAGCAGAATAAAAGACATTAAATTGCTGAAGATGACTGATGAAAACTCAACATATTTGTGACATTAAACCCAATTAATATTGTTCTTATCCAACAGCTAAATATAAAAAAAAGCTGATCAGTTTTATTATTCAATTATAGGACACATCAGTCAATTTATGAGGTGCTACCTATTCAGGGAATGACTATGAAAAAAATTACTTAAGCTGAGACCTACTTTCACCTTCGTCTGCTGTGTACACAGTGATTGATGAAAGTAATGTGACTCAAGTCTGTACTACACTTGATTACCATATACTGTTCAAACACCCAAAACATTTGAGTAGCACTATCAATTTACAAAGAGAGCAATATTGGTATTTCTGAAACATCTGGATAACTAGCCACATTTTTCTTTTTGTTAAAATTTTCTAGTCCCTAACAACTCTGTGACCTATTCCTTTATAGAACATGAGCACTGGGTTATGGTGCTCAATATCATCCTGAACCAGCAGCTTAACAAAATGAGTTGCATTGATTTTTTTTATAATCATTTTCATCAATACTGTCCTCAACTATCAGCATATGCTCAAATTTTCATTTTGCTAAAACTAGCTGAAAAATATCTGCTAATTAAATAGCTTGAAAATATTCTATTTGAACTTGGAAAAAAAAGAAGGATCTCAATTTTTAACAGAAAATAGTAAAATCTTGGCTACTTTATGAATTGTTATTAAATAACAAGAACTTTGTAATATTGATGCAGCAAATTAATTTTCTATAACTTAAAACAGATAAATAACAGCAATTTAAAAATATACCTTGCTTGTAGGTAAAGTGTTTATCAATAGGCAAAGCCAGCTCCACATTAAGTTTGCTTGTTGGACTACAAGGTACTTGTGTTGAGTTGAAGACAAAAATTCTGTAAGCAGAAAACACAAAATTTATTGTAAGCATTAATGCCACAAAGAAGTAAAGAATCACATTTAAAAATATGTATATTTTGAACCCTTAAACAAAAAAGCAACTGTAAATTAAAAAAACATGAAAAGAAAAAAAAGAGATAAATTAGAGGATTACGGTTTTCTAATCTTTTACTTGAATGAGATTAAATGATTCAGTTCAAAGCTAAAAAATTATTTTGTCTTATTTTTTCTTTTTTAAATGAACAAAATACACTTACAATAAATGCCATTTTTCTGCTGTACTCACCTGTGTTGAGATTATCAATAAATAACAATGATAGAATGTACTACATTGCTCAAGAAAATGAAAAATCAGTCAAGATTATTTTGACTCTTTTTACTAACAATATTGCTATGTGCACCTGGTAGTCAAAATGTAAATGTTTGTGTATCTAATATCTTTTTAAAGATCTACTTTTTTGGTGGGAAAATTGCATACATACTTTCAGGTGAATTCAAACAATGTTGAATAAATGTAATCAATTAAATGTGGTAAATTCTCAAAAACATCATGTTGAACTGATCAGTTAAACCAGAATTTTAAAAAATAAACTGCACAATAAAAACATATACAGACAAGGATACCATCTGAAAAAGATAAGTGTAATTTTTCAACAAATCTGACCAACTTGGACATTGTCTGATGATTGAAATAGAAATGTGTACAAGATGGTTTGAATAGTTGTTTATAATATTGGTTTAGTTTACTAAATATTTGCTAGAGAGAATGACACTTGATTTCTAATTTAATCTCCATATGGTTAGGAGGTAAATTTGTAAATATCACTTATTAAATTTAGAAAATGATCTATGATAGAATTGATTAAAAAGTAAAACAAAAAATACCAGCAAAATTTCTATCAGATAAACAATATGACTTATACTTTTCTTGGTCAACTACCGAGTGTTACACCAAAAGAGTCTATTAAGCTTTAAATAAGAATAGTGATGCTTAGGATGTTGCTTTAGAGATGTTTGACAGGGTTTGGCATGCTGGTCTGTTTCATAAGTTAAAATGTTATGGTATTTCTGGAAGAATTTGGATTTGATACAATCTTTATCAAATGGTGAAATGAAAGCGGTTTTGAATGTCTCCATTCAAGACAGCACTTTTAGATCTTTCTATATAAATGCAGGGTCAACTTTTGTAGATCTTTGTATATAAATGCAGGTGTCACCCAGGGCTCTATCCTTGGGCCTAATTTGTCCCTAATTTTTATCAATGACCTTTCCGATGTCATCAGTTCTTATCTATGCTGATGATATAACTATTTACTCCTATCTTAATGGTAAGTCTGTTAGGTACAATAAAGTCAAATTGACAACTGATATTGAAAATGTTGAAAATGCCCTTTAATCTATTGTTAACAGGAACAAGAAATAACTTGTTAATTTTAAAGCCTCCAAAACTAAACTGTTCTCTTTTAATCATCTTAGAGAACATTTTTTCCTTCCATCAGCAAGGCTGATGCTAACCTACAGAACAGTAACTCATTACACCTTCTCATTTTCCAATATGAATTGGAATGATTATATTGAAACAATTGCTAAGTCTGCTGCTAGGAAAGTTGGTTCACTGTGTCATGTTAGACAATTTTTCTCACACCTTTATAAGTCTACTATTTGTCCATGCATTGAATATTGCTGCCACATTTGATCTGGTGCTTCTGCTAAGTATCTAGAGATTCTTGCCAAAACCCAAAGGCGAATCTGCAATGTTATTGCTCTTGAACTGGCACCTTAGCTTCAGTCAGTTTTCCCCCATCACTATAATGTAGTTTTCTAGTGCCGCTTCTATAAATAGTTTTATTGCACTTGTTCTGATGAACTTTCCTATTTGAAGTCTTTGTGAATTAAAGCTTAATACTAGATTGCCAGCTAGGTCTCATCATTTTACAGTTGAAGTTGCTAGATATAACCATAAGTTTGATTCTAATAGTTTCTTCTCTCACACTTCTTGCCTGTGAAAATCTTTTCACTTCTTGCTTTCTTGTCAAAAGTCTTCAAAAATTTAAATTCAATGCCAATCACCATCTTGTCTTTTTTAATCCTGTGCTTTTATTGTCCTTTCTACTCAATACTGTTTTCTTATTTTCTTTCACACTTAGTGGTTTTATTGCCTTGCTTTGGGTGAAATGATTGAAAAAATGAAATAATAATTCCTATTTTACCTTATTTATGAAATTTATTCTCAATAAGAGAATTTTAATTTTCATTTACCTGCAAGAAGAAAGCCTAATGTTTACACTTTTAAAACTAATATATACAATATTTTGACCATGAAGAATTAAATAAAGATCAGCACAGATGACAAACTACAAAAAGGCAAGAGCATGAAAGGTTACATAAAAGTATAAAATTAGTACTCACGCATAGTCCTCTTGACGATCTACAAGAACTACATAACGAGGACAATGTTTCCAGTTGTCAACTAATCCAGCTCGTACACACTATGACAACAAGTTAAAGAAAAATGGCTGTTCACAAAGAACTCAAACATGTTATAATTTACATTTTATCACATGATGATCAAGTAAAATTATTTTTTTAAATCCCTCTTGAATACTGAAAACATCAATATATAACAATTAGAAAAAGTAATTAAAAAAGAAAAGAAAAGAAAAAAAAATCAAATTTGACAACTATTATTTGAATATAAAGTGGCAAAAAATTATTCCATAAAATAAGATATTCCCATTCATGTTCATTTCTACGTTCTCACTACCAGGATAACAGTGTCCAGAAATAACAAAAAGCCAGAAATAAAAACATGATAACAAAATTGTTATTTCAAACTGATGAATTTTCATTTTGCGAGTCCTTCATACAGATTTTGAAGTGGATTATGTTGAGAGCTTTAAAGTACTCCCTCACCAACGTAAAACTCCTTAAAAAATGTACAATAGCAATTATAGTAATATTATTGAAGTCATAGAAAAATTATTCTTTTTAGCACAAGATGTTTAGCCAATCACTTATTAAAATACTAACAATACTTTACCAAAGAATAAGCTATGTAAATATAAAATCAAAAAATCTAGAAATAATACAGTATTGTATAATGAAGTACACAACATTTAACACTTTTCTATTTAACTTCTTTTCAATGGAAAGTAAGTCAAAAATATAAATGCTTGAATGCATTTTCTTGCTTATTAGACAAATCATCAAAATGAATATTAGTCTTCTGTCAGAATTCCTTGGATGAGGAGTTATCATTATTTAAAGTCACATTAATGTCCTCATTTTATTGTTTTCAGCTGTTTTGCTTTCTGGGCTTTTCAGGTGCCTGTCATCTCAGTAAACTTCATGGAAATTTGAACTGGGATTGATGACAACATTTCATCTTTCGTACATAACCAGTCATGCCTGGTTTCATTGTTTCATCCCTAGTTATAGCTTTTCCAATTACTTTGGAATTAATTAATGCAGCAGAGAATGCAATATGAATATTAAATGAATTCATTAACACATTTTTGCCAAAGGAACAATAAAAGGTTTCAGCAGAAAAGAAGGTACTGTGAACTTCATCAATTTGTCATGGACGTATGTTAAGGTGACTACTTTGAGTCAATGACTAAATGATAGATAGAAATATTCAATTTCTTTACTACCAAGGAAAAACAAGTGCAATTTATCAGATGATGGATTCAGTAATGTGGCATTCAAATTAAAAAAAACTTCATACTGATTGAGTACTTTCTCATGTGGTTAAACTGTTCAAGCTACACAAGTCCAACAAAGATTATATCTGTAGATTTCTAGAATTTGTCTTTTCAAACATTAATCAAATCAAGTGATTAACATTCTCCTTATTTGCAGAAAAAGCATAGTAACACATTTATGAACATATTTATATTTGTTGGTTTCTATCTTGATAAAAACAAACAAATCTAATTAACTGCAGGTTTGGCTGATTCATCCTGCTATAGTCCTTACAGAAACTAATCATTGGGATAGGTTTTTAAATAAGATACCACAGGACATAAACCATGCAAACTAAACTAATTGCTGCATTTTTAGTGCAGACTTCCTATAATTGGTCAATATTTATTGTAACCGCTTCTAGATCAAATTTTTAATGTCCAAAAGTAAATGCTTTTAACACAATGTTGAAAATCTGACTTACATTTGCATAAAAATTGCAGAGATTGACATATCTACCAAAAAACAATACCTTGTCCTGTGACAAAAGCTGCTAGTGGTGCCAGGGGTGGCAATATTGCCATAGCCACCTAAAATATGTTACCTCCTGTTACTGTTGGTGGCTGATGAGGAGGAGATTTCACAAGTTGTATGTAGAAAATGTGTTTTCATAAAATTTGCATTTTGTTTCTCAAAAATTATATTAAAAATATATTCAATTCAGTAACTAGAGAAAATTCTCCAATGTAAAGATAGACATTTATATAAAATCATTGTTGAAATTATTCACTAAATAAAATAAATTTTCCTCATGAAATGAAGTAAGCATTTTTAATGTTTATTGTATGTGGATTCAAAAAATTATTTTTATAGTTGTTGCCGTTGAAATAATACTCCCCACCCAATTCATGCTCAACTGCTTTGTGTCTTATATCTGACTTCTGGAAACATTTTTTATACCTGAATGTTGGGAGGATAAAAAGCTTGTAGCATTTATTCCACAGAGGAAGTAAAAGCATAGCTGTATAATTACAAAATATGCATTTATTCCTGCAGTGTCAAACATCAGATGTAAAATGAAATTCTCAATAAGACACACATCAGATCAAAATGTATTTTCAAATTCATGTCATTTATATATATTTTTAATTATTCCACACTGTTATTAAACAAAAATACTGGATTTCTATTTTCTAAATATGTAAACAAATTTTAATAAATAATATATTGTTGAATTTAAATAAAAATCTGGTGAACAGGATCCAAGTCAAGAATATATTCAATAAAATGGCATCTTAACCCATATATATTATTAGCAGATCAGTGAAAAAATGATTTTTTTTAATTTGTCAAAATGTAGAACAATATTTTAATTAATTCAACAAGTAAAATTTATATCTGCAAGCATTTCTATTGAATATTCTGTTGACTTAATTGTGTACCACTAAATTAACCCTTTATAAAACTTTAAAAGCATAAATCTCTTGCAATCATAGAAAAATAATAAAACACATTTTATAATGGGAATATATTCTAAAATGATTCAGTTCCAAGTAGGCAAAACCCAATATTTCAAGAGTAACTCATAGTGTTATAATGAGCAGTAAGCTAGATTTCATTGAGTTTAATCTTCACTGGGTGCACCATACTTGCAGCCTTGTTCCAAAATTAAGAGATGCTTAGTAAATAAAAATCAATATTCCAACCAAAATTATCACCAGGTACTTTATCTCAGATAAAAATAAATATTCTGTCTGACACTATTGTCAAAATGGTGATCATAAATGGACAGAAATAGATGTTTATCTTTCCAGCTAATAGAAAAAAAATCATCAGTTTCATATTAGCTTACTGTGGTATCAAACATAGTTAAAGTGGTCAAAAAATTAATTATGTAAATAAGAAATATGTTGGGAAAAATAGCAAAATAAGAACATTTTCTCCTTGGCAATATCCAGTAATCTTGCTAGCCTTCAATTTATTGCATGAATGAACTTGATAGATGTCTGAAGAATGCAAATCCAAAAATGGTATAATCAGTGAAAGAGGCAATCAGATGAGAACCTATTAACAGAATTTCTATCAAAGACATCAGGCAAGAGACAATTAGAAACTCAATGAATATTAACAGGAGTGAGCCAAAATTAAATCTAATTTCTTTACTTGTCATGTTCAGTCAATTGTAATTGTTTCATTCATTGATGTTAAATAACAGTAAATGATTGCCTAAAGTAATGTCAAGTGAAATGTCAATATACAAGATTGCTACTGAGAGATGAATTTCCTCCTGCTACTGCCAAGAGGCTAGTGTCAATTGGAACACTTGAAAAGGCAAATATTAAACAGCCATTTACAATCTTAGGACAGTTTTTTTTTTATGTAATATCATTGAATCAAAATACTGTACAATAACATATTTTAAGTGGATGCCAGGTAATTATTTTGCAGTTGCATGGGCTATACAATATTTCCCATGCAAGTAATTATTAAAAAATTGTTACTTAGATACTAATCAAAATAAGTTGAAATTGTTGTTGATATCTGAACACTCTGGACACTACATCATCATCATCTTGCGGCCTCAGCCGAGATTGAACTCGCTACACCTTTCCATCTTGCTTATCTTCAATACTTTGATTGGTGTAGTTCATAATCTTGTCAATAGCTGAATTCTTGATGCTTTGCTAGGGCTATCAAGGGTGTTTTTATCGTGACACCATCACTAAATGGATTGCCAACCAAGGCTCAGAGAGATTCCATTCACCCTCATCTAAGATCTTTGAAGGGACGAATACAGAGACCTGGTGCACCGAATGCCACAAGGTTCCCAAACGACCCTCCACAGGTTTTGAATTCAGAGTTGTCCTTCTCCTAGACCAGTTGCCATCTAAGGCTATAGAACCCAGTCTGTCCTGCTATTTTACCCATACCTGGAGGGAGAGGAAGAGGATTCATACCTTTCCCAAGGGTATTAGCACGTAAGTGAATGTAATGGATTCGAATGGAATTCGAACTTGGCTCTGTGATTCCTCAATCCAAGCCGCTATCCATTACTCCACCGTGCCTCCTAATTCCTGGACACTACAGCTAAATGAGCAAAACTCAGTAGTGTAATAGTACAAGTTATAAGAATGTACATGTTACATTCATTTACATTATAAGAGTTTACAATTAATGATGATGATTATAATTAAATTTTATAGAGAAAATGAAAATAGTTCTAATATCTGTCATAAAGAAAAAAAAATTTAAATAACTGTCATGTTAGACATAATAGTTTTAATCTACTACACTTCAGGTGCATTAAAAAAAATAAATCAAATTTTACAGAATTTTAGAAATCATATATTCCATTGTGAAATGAAATCAGTGATGGGTTTGGAGCACCAATCAGCTTTCATATGATTTTCAATATGTGCATTGTCTAGGATATATGAACAGATAAAGATGGGCACAAATTATGACAAGTTCAATTTTAATACACAATTAAAAAAATTATCCACTTTCATCAGAGAAAAATTACAATTTCACAGTAAGGTTTACATAGTTTTTAATTAAAAAAAAAAAAATTTTTTTACTATAATTACTTAAATTAAAAAGCAGCTAAAATCAAACGTTTTAATTAAAGTAAAAAAAATAGAGAGGGAAAAATCAGTTTGTATTTTAGTCAACATCTGAGAAATTTTTGTAAACATCAAAACCCAAAAGATAAAAATATCTTTTCTGCTTACATAACATAAACAAGTAGTTTATGTCCATTTTTATACAAGTCAGAAGTTAACACGCACAGTTTATGCTAGTTTCC